GGGACCATTGAAGTGAGAGCCATTGAACTCTGTTTGGTACCCAGATTACAGCACCGCTGCTTCTCACGCTTTCCAGTGAGCAGTTAAACTGAATGGGAGAGCCAGAGACAGAGAAAAAAAAGTGTCGTTCCCACCAGGTTATGCGAGGGCATGTTCTGTCACGCTTCACTCATTAAAACATTTCCACATGCACCCCTGGCGGGTTTGGTGAGAAGCCTCGGGCGGCCAATTTAATTAAAACCACAGCAGGCGGATTTGGTGTATTCACAGCTTTTGGTGTTTACTTGGGACACTTGTGGAATTTTTTTACTTATCCCCTTCACTTCCCAATCCCAGCCTTTGCACCTTAAATGCATGAAAATCCTCAATCATCAAGTACCTTAAAGGAAGAGTTCAACCAAAAATGAAAAATTGTTGAAAATGTATTCACCCTCAGGTCATCCGAGATGTAGATGAATTTATTTCTTCATCAAAACAGATTTGGATAAATTAAGCATTACATCAGTTGCTCACCAATGGATCGTTTGCAGTGAATGGGTGCCGTTAGAATGAGAGTCCAAACAGCTGGTAAAGTGTCGTTCCCACCAGGAGGGCATGTTCTGTCACGCTTCACTCATTAAAACATTTCCACATGCACCCCTGGCGGGTTTGGTGAGAAGCCTCGGGCGGCCAATTTAATTAAAACCACAGCAGGCGGATTTGGTGTATTCACAGCTTTTGGTGTTTACTTGGGACACTTGTGGAATTTTTTTACTTATCCCCTTCACTTCCCAATCCCAGCCTTTGCACCTTAAATGCATGAAAATCCTCAATCATCAAGTACCTTAAAGGAAGAGTTCAACCAAAAATGAAAAATTGTTGAAAATGTATTCACCCTCAGGTCATCCGAGATGTAGATGAATTTATTTCTTCATCAAAACAGATTTGGATAAATTAAGCATTACATCAGTTGCTCACCAATGGATCGTTTGCAGTGAATGGGTGCCGTTAGAATGAGAGTCCAAACAGCTGGTAAAAACATCACAACAACATCCAGTCCATCAATTAATGTCTTGTGAAATGAAAAGTAATTATAAGAAACAAATCCATCAATGTGTTTTAACTTTAAACTGTCACTTCTGGCCAAAATACCAATCCATAATACATAATGATTCCTCCAGTGAAAAAAAAAAACCTTGTTCTTTCACATCAAGATCCACTAATTTTGTTTTGACTTTTTTTTTTTTTTCTTGTTTTCCATTTGTTTAAAACGGTTTTGGACAGTTTTTACAGTTTTTCTCTCGGGATTCAGACAACACGTTTGCTGGAGGAAGCGGTGTAAAAAAAAAAAAAAAAAATTATGGATTTCTTACAAATATGCAGCTTTTCACTTCACAATGCATTAATTGATGGACTGAAGTAGTGTAAATTATTTGTGTATTATTGTGATGGACTGAAGTAGTGTAAATTTGTGGATTATTGTGATGTTTTTTTTATCAGCTGTTTGAACACTCATTCTGGCGGCACCCATTCACTGCAGAGGATCCATTGGGGAGCAAGTAATGTAATGCTAAACTATTTCTTTTTAACAGTTTGGAATGTACATAAAACTCTACTTCTTTCCTTTTGTCCCCTCTTTATAGACAATCAAGTATTAGCTTTTGGACAGCTTGTAAGCACATCCAACACTTATGAGGACCACGACCCCAAAGGAGGCAGAAAACCTGTGAGGGTCACCACCGACAAGCCACTTTTATGGAGCATGGGAATTAAACCACAGTGAACAAAGCACTGGAGCAGCAAGCCTTTAAAACGTGCCTTTTCTTCAGCACTAAGAGCATTTTATTAATGAAGAAAATGAGTAGTGTAGCCTTTGATTTATTAACACAGCCAAATATAAATGTTAACACACAAAAAAAAAAAACTTTTTTACAAATGTTCGCATTCAGTCCATCATCCAACACTTTCAGGCAGCCGAAGGTCCATTTGGCCTCACAATGCAGCCGATTCAACCACCACTGTTAACAAAAGACAAACAATCTTGCTTTAAATCACAGACTAAATCAAATCAAAAACTGAATGAAACCATGTCTGTTCAAAAGGCACTGTATATGCACTGTAGTATTTGATTGTGTATCGTGTTTTAGTAATCAATGGTCTTTCCACAGTACTTGCAATAAAAGACTGAATTACATTGTGTTTTTTGCAGATTACTTACACAATGATGTTGTTGATGGGGATGTGGATGAGTTTGACAAAGAATCCAATGAAGCCCATGATGGCAAATCCAATTGCTGTTGCCATGGCAATCTTCTGGAATTCTAGAGACCAGAAATAAAAAAGAAGCTATTTTATCATAATCGTGAAACAGACTTAAGTACATGTAATATTAAATATGCTCAGTAAATACAAATATAACACTAAATAGTTCGCAATAGGTTCGAAAAACTATTTATTTTATAAACATTACTTGTTTAACACTGTTTTCCTCCAAATAGCTGTCCATTTGTAAGATTTTTCTCTTTTTCATAACCACCATCTTTGTCACAAGCAATTAATCTGCATTCGGCTTAAGAAAACTTAATAAAATGAATACTTTCATGTATAATTATAGCATCTGTATTCCTGAAATTTCTTTATGCTTACCAAATCTTTGAATCAGAAAGATAAAAGACTGGACGTACCTTTTCTATCTGGCTTTGTGCATCTTTTCACTAGTCTGATGGAGTCCTTGACGAACTGCCTGCTGGGCTCCACGAACTGCATGACCTGATCCATCCTGGTGTGAGGCTGGAGAGAGAACAGAACATTTCAGCTCACACAAATGTGAACTACAAACACTAAACACCCACATCAGAGAACAGAACGCGAACCACATCCAGACCTCTGCATTACTACACCAACACCTGACAGGAAAGAGGACATTTCACAGAAACAAGTCAGATGCTTTATACAGGTTTCACTACGTATGAATTTATTAAAGCCCCAGATAACAGTTACCCTAAACTCAGTTTAAGAAAGTGATAATATCTGATCAATCAGAAACGGTGTTTACGCTGAAACTCGCCAATCACAGCAGACACGTCCTCAGTAAGACACACAACCGTATAACCTCATTTTAAAACTGCATTCTTTACTTTATACCAATATAGACTACTAAAGACGCAAAGTCGACGAAAAGAAGCTTACCTGTGTTGACAAATCAAAGGACGAAGCAGTTGTTCAGCTGCAAGTAACAAACTGACTCCGCTGTGTGTAAAGCCACGTAGATTTAGGGAAAGACTAACGCGGCGTTCAGATCTACGCATGCGCGCTCGCTCACAACTCCTGCGCAGTGACGTGCTCCCTGCCATCTAGCGACTGGAGTTCACGGCGCAAAACGACCTGTCCACATCACTATTACTGCAGAGCTAGAAACAGCATTGCTGTCTATCAGGAGATGGTCCTCAATGCAGAACACATGATCCAGGGGGCGAGGTTGGATCCAGATCCAACTCCTCCCACCTTACATATCCCTAAACCTACCTGTCTCCACTCCCTGATCCCTAAACCCACCCATCTCCACACCTAAACCTACCAATCTCCACCCCCTAGATGTGGATCCAGCCTCGCCCCCTGGATCTTGTGTTCTGCAGTGAGGGGCTACTGTCTATCAGCGGCATATGCATTTTTTTTCAAACGGTTTATCTAAACAATTTTTTCCTCAAACACAGTTTTCCTTAAAATTGCAGCGAGGCATTTCATGTTCTATTATAGAATCCTATGCTTAAGCGAGGCTTAATTTTACAAAGCTCCTATGGGGACGTGGTGATGGAGAAAATATGAGATGGGAAATATATTTCATAGCTTTTGCATTCGCACTTCGCTCACAACATACAAAGTTTCTCGGTGAACACAAAAGTTTTGCGAGTGAACGCAAAGTTTCTAGGTGAACTCGGAAGTTTTGAACGCAAAGTTTTTACGAGTAAACACAGTTTTTTCGGGTGAACGTAAACGTTTTGTGAGCCAATGCAAAACCATTCAAATATTTTTCCCCTTATATTTTATCTGTCGTCCATTTAGTACTGAGCCCTCAAAACTTTTGTGTTCTCCTGAGAAATTCGCGTTCACTCGCAAAACTTTTGTGATGGAAATAATATGAGGTGCGCAGAGCCCCTTAGGTAACATGGTGATAGAAAAAAAAATAGATGGAAAGAAAAATGCTTTGGCATTCCCTCGAGAAACTTTGTATTCGCTAGCAAAACCACTGAAATATATGATAAAATGCTAAAGTTTTGACGCTAAAGTCGTGCTAGAGAATGCTAATTTTCTCAGGGAGACAACATTTTTGCAAGAGAACGCAAAAACATTGAAATATGAGTTTTCGTCTGGGTGTCGACCGATTATCGTCCTGGCCGATTATCGGCGCCAAAATTAAGCTTTTTTATGGTTATCGGTATCGATATCGATAATTTTAAAAAAAAAACTATTTGCCGATAAAATAATTTAAAAGCATTTAAAGAAAGTTTTTGTCAGAGCCCTTGTTGTTCTTAATTTTGACATTAATTTTCATTTTTACACCAGACATATATATCGGTTCAAAATATTGGTTATCAGTCGGTACTTGATCTGTAATAATCGGTATCAGCATCGGCCCTGAAAAACACATATCGGTCGACCCCTATTTTCATCTGATCTCATTTTATTTTCCATCACCATTTTATTTACCATTACACTTTATATTGAAATATAATTTTCCTTCCATTTCATATTTGTTTTTTCCATCACCATGTCTCCTTGGGGGCTCCGTACTTTATATGATAGCAGGAAGGCAAACATCCTGAGAAATCATGCTTCAGATAAGCAGTTCTGCTTAGTTCATTAACTGTAGTTATTTAAGCAGCTCATCTGCAAAAGGAAACAAAGGCAAATTTATAAGATAAAAGCATTTAATAGACCAAAATACATTTGAATTCATAACAGTTCATTATGTCTATTGAAATAATAACAGCATAGCCAAGGGTATTAAAAAAAAGAGTATTCAATGTACAATATAAAACATATAGTGCTAATTCAGCCATGCATTGTATGAATACTACAGTTTCCATTATCTATGGCATTAGTCCAAAAGCTTTCATTCCGTTTTTATAACAGTGTCACTGAGAGAAGCGCTGGTCCCATGTAATGCCAAGCATCTGACAGCTCAGTTCCCAGAGTTTCTGAGCCATTTCATCATCTAAAGCTTCACTTGAACACAGTGCTGGAGCACAGTCGCTAGAAACAAAGCAGAATCTCAGGCTTATGAATGACACTGTCTTAATGAGCATTAATATGACTAGAATAATTTCCATATTGCATGTTTAACACGTTTTATTATCGTGAAAACCTAATGCAAATTAAAATGGTGGATGTCTTGTGCGCATATCGGTACATGACTCACGTGAGAGTAAACTGGACTAAGAATTCTATTGAAATTTTTCTTCTGTACCTGTAATATCCTCCACTCTCGTTGTCCAGCTTGGGCTCCACAGCACAGTAGATGGTGGTCTGGGCCCCCTGAATGGTGGTCTTGGTGAAGGGGCTAAAGACCTTGACTGCTATCTGCACAGGCTTGCTGAGGTTCCTAAACAGCTCTGACTGCACCACACCGGGATGGAGGGAGTACACAGTCACACCACTGCCTACAAACACAACCATGGCCATATTTCATCATATATCAAAGTTAGCAGATGACACACAAGTGAACACATGATTAAAACAGTTGTAATAAGTATTTTCTTCTTTTGTACTGCCATGATTAGGAACAGAAATGTTTTAATAGAAATAAGTCCGTTATTTTGGATTCAATCCTTCATTAATTTACATTGGATTTTTCTTTATAGAAAGTGTTGTAGTGGTACAATGGTAAGTGATGGTGACAAATATTACAATACTTCATTCACCATGGTTTTTACATGCTAATGTACATCAAATAATACATGTTCAAAAATAAGATATTGCCACAGCATATAATCTAGAAAGACGTGGTACCTTTAAAAAATAAAAATAAAAAAAATCATGCATAGGCATCCCATGGTATTTTTTTTTTTTATCACAAGCTGTTTTTGTTTCACTAAATAGAAACAAGAGATTCACTTATTCATATAAAACTACAGTGTGCATGTGTTTTTTTTTAGTATCATATTTGATGTATCAGGCTTTTATGACTCTTATTGTATGATATAGGAGAATATGGAGCTCATACTCTGAGAAGAAAAGGTATAAACAATCAATCAGATGACAGAAGGTATATAGATATTATAGTTGATAATTTGGAGGATTTAGAAATTTGTGTATTAAATATGATACAGTAGGCTTATAGGGTTATAGAATCAGTTTTTTATTCAAATAAAAAAATTTAAATAGTATTATATTAGATAAATTATTTTACTCCTCCTTCCATCTCTGTCATAGTTAAACTGTTGGCATAACAAAAATCTATATAAATCTGCAACAATGCCAAGTAGATAATTCCTTTTTATTCTTAAACTAGAATTGGTATGAATGCGAACTTCATGCATGAATGTGATCCCTCTGTGGCCCTTCTGAACAGATCACAGTGTCGAGTGACAAGCACGGAAAAAAGGACATTCTACACATGCTTAGGACAGTTCTGGATCCTAAATGAAATACTCGGAGAAAAACACAAAGATCAGTTGTGACCACCTCTGCCACTGTGTGTCCTGGATTTGGTTGTGTTAATGTAGTCTGACAGGGAAAAAGATTGCATTTAATGTCACGTTGTACTCTCATGAATACCAAATCAAGCAGAGTTCAGGAGAGAGAAGACAAACAAGATATTACAGTTTGAGTTCTTAAGGATCTGACATGGATAGCCTTGCTCTGAAGGTCACATACCCTGCAGTTTTTTAGCCAAGGAGCGTGTGCAGAGGATGTTAGCTAGTTTGCTCTGGCCGTAAGCCCTCCGTGGAGAGTAACTCTTCTCGCTGTTTATGTCATCCAGATGGATGCTGCCCCATGTATGGGCCACAGAAGCCACGTTGATGATCCTGGAGGGGGCTGATTTCTTTAGGAGGTCAAGCAGAAGGTAGGTGAGCAGAAAATGACCTGTTGGTGGATTGGAAAAGATAAAAATAGTCAGGGGTTGTTTGCCCTTTCATTGTCTCTCATGTCCTGTTGATCCCCCTGTGCCTTATTTGTCTATTACTCAATAAATGCATGGAAGTGGATGTATATGGAAAGGATGTATACTATACGTGAGTGCTTAGGTTCCAACAGGAAGCCAACTTTGGCTGATAAATGATTAAACAGCATGTGCTGTCAATTTAGAGGCTCACTACTCTACACTTGTAGGAATTCTGAGACTTCCTGTGTGAAACAAGGTTGCCTTATATATAGGATTAGTCTATTATCAAATACAATTTGTGCTTAATTTGATGGAGGTCACTTTTTTGGAGCAAATTACTTGGTTTACTGCTCAGTTCAAGTATTGATTAGATACAGGAAATCTAAATTTACAGAGAGTATTAATTCTTCCTGGGTCATAATAAGTGTTTACAACAAAATGATGATAAACTAGTTAATAATAACTTTAAATTGCCTCAGATATTTATAAAATTGCATCGATTTTTGATGTTGAAATAGAAATAGACATTTGGATGTAGTATGCACAGATATGCACACTCACACTACCTTTCAAAATTTTAGAGTCAGTCATTTTTTTTATTAAAGTAATTAATACTTTTATTCAGAATGGATTCATTAAATTGATCAAAAGTGACAGGAAAGTCATCCTGAAAAAATGTATCATGGTTTCCACAGAAAAATATTAAACAGCAGTTATGCTATATTATAACTATAAACTATATTAATTCAACATGGATTATAATAAGAAATGTTTCTTGACACTGAAGACTGGAGTAATGCCTCTTCAAAATTCAGCTTTGTCATCGCAGGAATAAATTACATTTTAAAATATATTAGATTAATAAACATTTACTTTAGATTGTAATAATATTTTACAATATTGCTGTTTTCACTGTATTTTTGATCAAATAAATGCAGTATTGGCAAGACTTCTTTCAAAACCAATACAAAATCTTACTGACCCCAAACTTTTGAACAATAGGGTATAGAATGTACTTTATTAACGGTAGCGAAGTAAGTTTTTTCATTAAATGTAAACTATTTCAGATGTAGTTATGGTTCATGGCCATGGTCAAACTCCCTGAAATACATGAAACAATATTCATCATCATAATGTAAATAGTGTATGCATGTAAATACACTCTTTCATATAGTAAAACATAAAGTGACATTACCTAAATGGTTTACACCAAACTGCATCTCAAAGCCATCTGCAGTTTTTGAATATGGACACATCATGATTCCAGCATTGTTGATCAGGATGTTGACTTGCTTTTCCTCTAAAACACACACACACACACACACACACACAAAAGTATAAAGACCCATTAACAAATTGATATTATATATATAGTTCTGAAACTCTAGATGACGCATTCTGACGGGGTGTTAACGTAACTGATGATATTCAGAGAGTTAAACGACTTGGCACAAGCTGATTGGTTCACGCTGCATATGCAGCCAATGAGCTTACTGCCTTGCATTTATATGGCTGGCCAGCATTCACTTGAGATTCCTGCAGCGTGCTTTCAGAGTTCTCTGAAACCCTCCACCT